TTGCTTACAAAATATTTTCAAAATAAAAAAAAATACTTTTTTTACAAAAGAAATACCCATGCACGCTTTTCTTAGCGTGGTGGGGGATCGAAAAATTACACGGCCGCCGTGTCCTCGAAAGAGGGCATCTATCATGCACGCTTTTCTTAGTGTGGTGGGAAAGGCCCAGTTTTTCGTAGTTTTCCCCTAAACGGGGGAGACGCCGGAAGGCTGCCGAAATTTCGGGTAAAATATTGCTACATTTGGATCTCATTTGAACTCAAGAGAACGATTTGGAACTTGAACTTGATTGCACTTGGATGACATGCAAGAACAAAGATGTGGACACATTTGAACAATCAAGGACTTGGAACTATGCTCAGAACTCAAATCAAATGGACTTAAATGAACTTGAACCATAACCTGAATAAAAAGGAAGGATTTGAACTTGAACTCAACAAGACAACGAAGAATATGAACTTGAACTCATGATTGGACTTGAGTTGGAACGAGATCTTGAACTCAAATGAGTTTGGAGCGAGGAGCTTTAACTTGAACATGAACATGTCAAAGGAGTTAAAGCAAGATAACTTGAACTTCATCATGGTGGACTAAGCTTGAATTTGAAGAAAATATAAAGTACTTAAAATGAAACTAAGAGATATTGGACTTGGTTCTAAATGAAGCATTTGAGTTGAACCAAGCTCAAATGAATGAGTGAACTTTGACATAGAGCTTGAACAAAGAACTTGGACTATATGAAATTCACATGAATGAAGAAGACTTTGGTTTGGATTCAACCTAAACTTGAAAGAAGAATGAATCAAGATTGTGACTTGGGACAATCATAAAGAACTTGACTTGAAAATGATGGAATCTCAAGTTGAATGCAAATCCTAACTAAGAAAGTTTCAAGTCATTCAAATCTTATACAAAGCAAGCAAGTACTCATGTATAAGAAATTCCTAACATGCCACTCATGAACAACGAAGTTAAAGTGATTTGTAAATATCGTATCAAACCTTTGTAAATCATTGGGGCTAATGAAATACCAAAGCTGGGTCTATTTCACCTACAAGTGATGAGGGCAAGATTTAAACTATTCATGCCTACAAGATGAATGGAGTCCACCAGAGCAGAATGTACGCTTATGAGAGACATGTAGTAGTAGATGGTACATTTGTGAGGAACACAACCATGTTTGATGACAATCCAAGTCCAATCAAATGAGCCAATTCTCCACAAAGCGAAAAAGGAAAACTAGTATCATTTGAATCTTAAATATGAAAGATATGGAGCAATGCATTAAACTTCTATGGCTTACACTAACTAAAAATGTTCTAGTCATTTGCAAGATAAAGAAATTCGTAGAGGATGAATGCAATGACAAAATAGCACTCGTACCACCAACATCAGAACATCGACAACCATTTTCAATCTTGCAAGCAATGAAATTGGAAGGGTATATATAATTGATTGCAAGAAAAGATCAACGACGCAAGTCCACCATACTGACCACAAGCAAATATGGAAGAGTTCTTACTCATATAGTGGTCTACTTATGGGTGATGACGATTAATGTGCGGTAGATGCTAAATCATCCATACAGTTGATAGTCACTCGGTATTAGTCAAATACATCAGCCTTCTACAAGCAAGGATCAAAGATCTACAACAAATGCAATCATCAAATCCCACCTGAGATTGATGAAAGGTGGATAGGATGCAAGAACAATGACACTCCTACAATCAATAACAATTCAGTGCTGATCAAATACAGTAATTTTCCACGAACAAGGATGGACGAATTGTAGCAAGTACAACCATCTACAGACCGTCGTGGAGGACCCATCATATGTATTAAATGTCATATACAAGCAGAATATCAAAAGACCACAATAAGTGTAAGCTCCTATGACCAAAGGCAGGAGATTAGTTAATGCACTACAATCTACCTGCGCAAATCATACAAATAGTGCACGACAGTCTACCTGTACGAAGCAGCGAACAATTTTATTCAGAAGCTGCTACGCCACCGGATCTGCAACATTCGTACAAGCAGACAGAAGGCGTCTATTTAAAGAATACCCCCTGCACGTGCACTCTAAATTGTATACACATAGGTACACTAAAGGGGGAAATACATTCTCAAACCGCATGGGCCCCAACGAGTGTGTTATTGGTACACACGTGACGTCTAGGGATGCTGCGCGGGTCAATAAGTGAATTCAGGTTCGAACCTGATCCTTCTATACGAGTCGATATAAGTCGACAGGGTTCGAACCATCAAACAAATATGTGGCCGTGGCGACCAGAATATTTGTTTCAATACATTCATATTAGGCCTTCAAAGGTCTATAGCAATACGAATTCACTAATAAAGGCTCAAAGCCTGTAAAACCCGATCCTCTGTCGACAGCCCGACAGAGTTGACAAGGTTCAATCCATAAAAAAAAAGAGAACGAAGTGATTGATGACTAGCCTTAATCGAAAGTTCTCTCTCGTGATCGGGAGGGATAATTCACTATAGGGGCTTGCGCCTATAGGAAACCAGAACTCAGATCATAAAGTCCTCGCAAAATGAGGGCGAAATCTCTGGGTAGTGTCTTATCTACAAACCCATCTGCCTTTCAAAATTTACCTCGGAACTTAGTTCGTTAAAACCCCCTCGCCGAATAAGAAAAGCGAGTAGAGGTCGAGGGCGAATTTTCGGAGCCCACAGGACAGCAGTTGTCTTTGTTTAGATACTTGATTTAGGTTAGGTTTACTTGTGCATACAAGTATTTCCTATCACATTCTTAAATGATGACTTTAAATAAGGAAGACTACATGGATTCGGATCCAGGAATCAATGATTCTGAACAAAAAAACTTAGTTTGCAAATTAAAGAAATCTAAAAAATCATCTTGAGCTTGGCTAGAAAGGGTTACAGAAGTTGTGACTTAGCAAGGGTTCAAACAATCTCACTCTAATCACATCTTGTTCTACAAACACAAGGATAGTAAGTCTACCATATTAATTTTGTATGTTGATTACTTCATGTTACTAGAGATTATGATTTGTAGATAAGTAGCTTGAAGAAAAAATAGGCAGAAGAGTTAGAAATTTTGGGATCTCAGCTATTTTATCAAATGAAAATATCTTGGAATCAATATTAAGTCATCATCTCTAAAAAAAAATATTTTCTAATTATTTTAAAAGAAATTGGCTTAATTGGAAGTAAACCTATTGACACTCCAACAGATCCTAAGTCCTAACAATAAATTGAGTGATTCTAGCTTCAGTTCTCTAGTAGATAAAGAAAGATATTTGTGGTTGATGGGGGAACTGATCTATTTGGCTCATATCAGACTTAACATAGCCTTTGTTTTCAATTTAGTAAGTTAGTTTATGCATGTTCTTATGACAAACATATGAAACTATCTCTAAGATTCAAAAATACGTTGAAGGGTGCCCCAGGAGAGAAATTTTCTTTACTAAGGAGATTCTATAATCATAGAAACCTATATTAATGTTGATTAGTTGGATCTATAGTTGATAGATGATTCACTATTGGATATTGCATGTGTGTGGGGTATCTTTATAACATGGAGAAGCAAAAATAAAATGTTATGGTAAGGATTACTGTTGAAGTAGAACTCAGATCATTCGTCAAAGGGATTATTGAATCAAACATGTGGAGATATATCTACACTTTATTAAAGAAAAAATCTAACTGGGGAGGGATGTATGTATTTAATATATTTACTCATTTGATCAAATGGTGAAGTTTTGATCAGAGGATTGACTAGACCCCTATTTAAAAAATTGAGTGATAAATTTGGTTTGTTGGATGTTCGAACTGGCTCAAGTGGGATTGTTAAAGATGCTATCATTTCTTTAAATTAAGAAAGAACTAATTATATTTGCGGTATCCAAGGAACTAATTACTAGTGGGTCACTTAAAGGTTGATTTCAAGGAGCAAATGTAGTTGGCAGGCAGTGAAAGATGGCATGGCAGCTGCAACAGTAATGGGAGAGTGTCAACATAGCCCCTGGATTGGTGACATGACCATGCGTAGCAAATGGATTGTTGACTTGGAGCTTGGGGCTTATGCTGATTTATTTGTTTTTTTATTTAATTCATAGTTTAGAATTTTCTTTTCTTTCTCACCTAGGTGTGGTTTATTCCATCCTAATTTGTACTCCTTGTCAAACTCCATAAATAGGGTTGTGTTTTAGCCAAATAAACACCATGGAGTATTGCACTTTACTTCCTCCGAATTTATCTTCTACATTTTACAATGGGTGTTAAGCCAATATCCAAACAGCCTTAAAGATCGCTCTGTCATGTTTTTTTTTTGTGTTTTTTGCAAATAAATTGTGCCGTACTTTTTATATGCAAATTTACTACAGTATGCATTGAAGTTACTGGAGCTAAGAGTTATGAACCACAAAGTAATAGGACTGGTCATCAACTAAGCACTATGGAATGTTACAGCTTGGTGAATGACAATGATAATTGGCCTAATTGTTGTTTTGCGTATCAATGAGAATTGGTGGTCAGACTGATGAGAAGCCTTCCATTTAGTAAAATAATCATTAAGCTATATATGATTAGTTTGTATGCTATTACGTTGTGGTATAAGGTTATTGATTATTGATGCACTTATAGAAACCTAGCGTTGTTTGAACTCTCAAGTATATATGAGCATATAGAATGTAGATGTAAATTAGAGAGTTGTAGTTCCAAGTTTCAAAAGCCAAGAAGTTCAAGTAATCTCATTTCTTTTACTCTGTATTAAAAGTCTTCAACGCCTATTTAAACAATCTAAATAGGTTGTCCAAAATGGAGCTAGTTTTCATGGATTCTTGCAACTGAATATTTGCTATGCGATTACATTTTGGAAGTGATGAAATAATATCTTAATTGGCTTTGTTATGGCTTTCTATCTGCTTTTCTTGTATGTTGTTTGCTTGCTATGCATGTTTTGTATCTAATTCTGCAATAATACGCATTGGAGGTATGGATTCATTTGACAGCTATCAGCTTCAGGAGATAGTGGTATGCCTGAAGTAGTTGCTGATCCTCAAGGTGAGGTGGCCAGGACATTTCAAAATCTTGGGGTTTGTGTTGTTCAGCAATGTGCAAAAATTCGTCAGCAAGGTTAGTGAAGCTCATGTGATGTTTTCGAAGCTTTCGTTTCTATTTTTGTATCAAAAGTTTGTTTACGTAAAAATTCAGATACGAGTTAATTATTTTTGGATGTTATTTCAAAATAATGTTATGATACACTTAAATTTGGTGCTATCAATATGACACGGTAAATGCCCCTGATTTTTTCAATTCTCTTTTGTTCTGCAATTCAGAATAGAAATTGAGGTACCATGAATGGATAGGGAAATAGAATGTCTTGATATTTGAACCATTTTCAGGTCATTTGGTTCAATGTTTTTTTGGATAGTAGTCCAATCTATGTACCAGTGTCATTCTAATAGTAGTGCTGTTAAAATATGGTTCATTTAATTTATTTGTTTTAATAAATGCAGTGCTAATTAAATTCCCTCAATCTTGGCTAATCATAAATTACCTCAATCTAGAGTACAATTTCTAATTAGATTACTCAAACACCTCTTTTTTGGGGGTTGCGTCAAACCCTTTTCTAAAAATGACCTTCATGATAGTACTAAAGATCAGATGCATTAGTCATATTGTTTGGCAAGTACGATCATAATCGATTTAGAAAACTGGAAATCTATGGAATGCTACTTGCTCTATTTTAATAACAGAGATTTATGCTTGCCCTTTTTTATGTGGAAGTGTTTATCTTTTTCAGTTTCAACAGCAGTCTTCTATGATAAATTGATCAGAGCAATCCGAGTTCGAGTACCAGGCTCGGATGATGAATTTTTTCTGCATCCTGCAACTGTAAGACGGAATGACCGCTCTGCTCAGAGTGTGGTGTGTACACTAATCCATTTTAGTGTAGTATGTATGTTATACTATTGGAGATGCCTAGATATTCTATTAAATATGATTTATTTGCAAAGCGGGGTATAAAAAAGCCGGGCCTAAGTGATGTCAAGGTTGTTCGGCTTGGCCTGTTAAATGAGTAAAATTTTGTTTGTTTGTTTGGCTTGTCTAGTTATCAAGCTGAAAATGAGTTTCTCATGAACAGGAAACGTACTTAAAAGGCTTGCATAAATTATAGATTATATATGCAGTCAAATATATATATTTATATACATTTATACATATTAATATATTTGCATTAATATGAGCATGCACTATATATATATATATATATATATATATATATATATATATATATATATATAATGTGTGTGTAAACATAATCGAACGAGGCCATCTTTGTTTTTAGCACTTTTAGTAAGAGAGCTTGTAAAATTAGTCTAAATCAAAACTATTAGATCAAATAGAATCAAACTTGAAAAAATGAGCTCTTCTTGTAGCCCCACGGACAGATGATCAGATTGAAGCATTTAGCATATGTTATTTCTTTTTCCAGAAGTTAAATTGGAAATTAATTTTGTTACGAAAGAAAGAAAGATTTATTTATCCTCCAAGGGATTTATGCTCAAATGAATGGCAGTATGCATACCATATATAGCCTAAAATAATGGGTCACATTTTCTCTGATATCTCAATCTTGTCAAATTCTATTTGAAGTTCTTCTAAACCAACAGTGGAATATCTTGATGTAGGATGAATGGACTGGGGATCAAAAGCTGCAATTTGGTGATGTTCCAGAAGATATTGAGCCCGAAGATGTCAGGCCCATGGGAAATTATGCAGTTTCAATAACATGGCCTGATGGATTTAGCCAGGTCAGTGCATTAACTTGAATTCTTATTCTAGAACTGGTATCACCGTACTGAAACATCACTAAGCATGTGATTGACGTGATACCAGTACCCCTTGAAATCTCTGTTTTTAGTGCTCTTGTTGAACAAAGTTTAGAACTAAAATCAACTATTTGTAGGCCTCGTTAAGAAAAATAGTTGTCGAATTTAAGTTTATTATGATTTGTATCACTTACTCAACTTCTCTTTTGCATTTCAAATATTGCGTCTATTTTTATTGCTTTCATTTTGTTCTTGTTCATTTTCGACTATGAAGTTTTCGTTATGACATTCTTAACCCTTAAAACTTATCCATCGAGCAATATAAGGATAGTTGACGAGGTAGACAATAGGCTGTTGACACGCCGCACAAGCTTATACGACATTAGCCGATAATGCTTGAAACAACCTATTGCCCGAGTGCTAGCACGAGAAAATCGATGAAAATTCCATCTAATTGCTCTTAGGGAGGCAAATTTCAACATGCGTGAATGACGAATAATCAATGAGCGGATTGACGAGCATTTAAATATATTTATATATATATATATATAAAGCTTAGTGAAAGCGTAATAAAAAAGCACAGTTAAAACTCAGTGAAAGCGCTGTGAAATGATAGAACTACAGATTAACTGGCTTTTGTTGTGCTTTCTCTGTGCTTTAAAGCACTTTCTCTACACTTTCATTAGTATTACATGTTGTGTATAAAGATGAGAATGAAGCATACGATGTTTGTTGTAGTTATGCCCATATGTGGGCTCCGAAAATTCGGCCCCAGCCTCCCCGCCGCGCATGATTGTTTATGCTTTTGCTTTTGGCAAGGGAGTTTTAACGAACTAAGTTCCGGGATAAATTTTGGAAGGCAGATGGATTTGTAGATAAGACACTACCCAGAGATTTCGCCCTCATTTTGCGAGGACTTTATGATCTGAGTTCTGGTTTCCTATAGGCGCAAGCCCCTATAGTTAATTACCCCTCCCGATCATGAGAGAACTTTCGATTAAGGCTAGTTATCAATCAGATACGTAGTAAATACGTGTTATCTGGCATATAGTAGCAGCAATGGACATTTAGATTTGAAGTGTTGGAGAATTTGTAAATTTTAATATTTAAAATAGAAATTGCACCATCTTGCACTTAAAGCGAATGGTGGGGGAATGGATGATGGACCCGATCAAGATCCCATGGTTCCGTCGTCCCGGGCCATCATGATCCCTGGTCTACCTAGTCAGAGGAGGTAGTCGACCCAACCTGACAGAAGGATCCTTGTCGGCAGCCATGAGTTGCTTCGTCCAAGGGGACCTTATAGACCTGGGGTGAATGTTTGTTTAAGGGGACAAATTTGAATCTACCTTAGCTAACAGAGGACTTTATGCCCTATCGATCATATCCTATTGATTCATATCTCAAGGATTTGATGCCGTTAAGGAACGTAGTCTCTAGCCATAACCGGTATTTCGTGGTGCCATTTGTCGGAAAAATCACTCGGTTCAAAGGGCCCGGGTCATAACTGTCATTTGGCGGCAAAATCGCTGGTTAGAGGACATGTGCCACGTCCTTATTGGCAGGAGATTGTTTGAGAATGAATCCTAGTGATATTTTCGACTAGACATTTGACTATTTGTGACCAGAAGTAGTTTTTTAATTTGTCCACCTCGGCAAACTGTTGCGGAGGGTGGATGGGTTTTGCTTTAAATATTAATGGATTTATTTCAACTTTAAATATTTTTAGATTTTTGATGATTTTGAGATTTTTGGGTGGAGCTTGGATCATTTAAAATGGACCCCTCCGGTTGAGATTTGTATTCAACACGGCCATCATCGGAGTGTAGAGGGTTATTTCCATTTGAAGCTTGAACCTTGTCGACCCTATCAACTCGCCGATAGAATATCGAGTTTCGTAGGCCTCATACCTTTGTTAGTGAATTCTTTTGATTGTAGACCTTGAAGGCCTAATATAAATGTATTAAAACAAATTCACCGGTCGCCATAACCGTGTATTTGTTTGAAAGATCGAACCCTGTCGACTCCTATTAATCCGCATAGAAGGATCGAGTTCGAACTTGAATTCACTTATCAACCTGCGTAGCATCCCTAGATGTCATATGTGTACCAATAACACGCTCGTCGGGGCCCATGCAGGTTGAGATTGTATTTTCCCATTTAGTGTACCTATGTGTATACAATTTATAGTGCACGTGCAAGGGTACACCAAAATGATTGTAGTTGTGCAAGTAATCACCATTTGGGTACACAACATTTCATTTGAGAGCTTATACATGCCTTCTGTCTGCTAATATGAGTGTTGCGGATCCGATGGCGGTGCGTTGTAGATTGTAGACGCCTTTTGTCTGCTTGCATAAGTGTTGCAGATCCGGTGGCGGTGCGTTGTAGATTGTAGACGCCTTCTGTCTGTTTGTATAAGTGTTGCAGATCCGGAGGCGGATGGTCTTGATATTGACTCCCCTTTTCTTATTCACCGGGGAAGGTTTCTTCTGGACTCTGAAGTTCGCTGCTTTGAAAAGATCTCTTTTTGAGATCACCAATGTAGTGGATTTGTCATTTCTGGTGTTTGTGGATACCATGAATGTTTTCTTCCTGAGTGTTGGATCAGAAAGGAATTTTGGAATACCTGGGAGTTTAGTTCGAATTTGCTCAAACATCTTTTCCATTCTGCCAGGGGGTGTCATCTTTCATATATCGGGTTGCCCTTGCACCCGACGTACCTGAAGATTTTGATTACCACTGTCATAGGTGATATCCGTACTTGTGTCAACAGTGGTTTATTATACTTACAATTCACTATTGTTATTCACAAGTATTCATTTACAGGGAATCGTTGTATCCACTATGACCTCCTGGAAGTGTTTGTAGAAGAGCCATTGTCGCCTACATCATATCCACCTGTCACCAATCTCAGGTGGTAGTTTTGATGTATTTGCTTGTAGAGGCGGGTCCTCCATTATTGGTCTCTAATATCGTCTTCTTCAATCGATAGGCAATTATAGGGATTGTCGTAGGAGTTTATTACACCTGCATTGTGTCCACCTTTTACCAATCTCAGGTGGTATTGGTATTAGTTTTGATGTGAATTTGAACTTTACAAATCATTTAGGTTTTGCTCAGGTTCAAGTCCACTGCTCTTTCTCATTTGAGTCCAGGCTCTTATTTTTTTGAGTTCAAACAGGTCCGAGTATAGTAACATTTTACCCAAAATTTTGGCAGCCTCCCAGCGTCTCCCCTGTTTAGGGAAAAACTACGAAAAACTGGGCCTTTCCCACCAGCGCAATAAAGGCGTGCATGGTAGGTGTCCTCTTTCGAGAACACCGCGGCCGTGATCTTTCTTCCCACCACGCGCAACAAAATCCTGCATGGGGTCTTCAGTACCTGTTACAAGAAAAGAGCAGTTTGCTTTACCCCCGCTCGGGGGTACTTATGAATTATTCTGGCCATGCTAAGAAAAGAGTGCACCAGGCTTACCTAGCCTCATCATGTGCATCGCACCGGGTTCCCTCCTACCACGCTCAACAAAGGTGTGCATAGGTGGTTTGCCAGCTCGACGCGCATGTCGATGCAGGAGGGCGAGGGGTCGCTCACTTACCTCGTCATAGGTATCGCATCGGGTTCTCTCCTACAACGCTCAATAAAGGTGTGTATAGGTGGTTTGCCGGACCGACATGCATTTCGAGGCAGGAAGGCAGTGAGTTGCTCGTTCACCTCGTCATAGGTGTCGCACCGGGTTCCCTCCTACCACGCTCAATTTGATAAACTATAATTAGCAAATTAATCATAATTATCATTAGTTGGTGATTAATCATAATTAACTGAAATTAATTATAATTAACCAGATAATTATAATTACTAATTAATAACTAATTATAATTAATTAATAAATTATAATTTTAATCAAATAATTATTAAATATAATTAATAATTATTATAACTAATTAAATTTTAACTTACTGGGTTTGGTCGAAGAAATGCTCGGGAGGAGAAAATCACATAGGATTTTTATTTGGTATTCGGATTTACAGCTAGAATTGAATCAGATTTATGCTAAATCCAGCCGAATGGTTTTGGTGCATGCGTTAAATCTCGGCGATGGGTAAATCCTAGATTTAAGGACTTATGGCTTAAATCCCGCATTTACTAAGTCCCTCAGTTTGGTGGATTTATGGGATTTGGCCGAGCGAGTGCGTGAAAGGGAGAAAGTTACCTTCCACAGCGAGCTCCCGTTGCTTTCTTCCGATCAGACAAGAAGGGAGAGTCGGTGAAAGGAGCGAAGTCGACCGGGCACGACGGGGCCGAAGCAGCGATCGGAGGGGAGAAATATAGAGAGAGAGAGAGAGAGAGAGAGAGAGAGAGAGAGAGAGAGAGAGAGACGGGCTCGGGAGAAGAGCGAGAGGGAGAAAGAGCCAGACCCGAAGGCTTCATTCCGCTGGTCTTTTATCGATGCAAGGTCGTGCGATGAAATGATGCGAAGTCGTGCGAGCCTTTCGTGAAGATCGTGGGAAGAGCAGCGACGACGTGCGGGGGCAGAGAGCAAGTAAGGATTCGATATATTTTTTTTGTTCTGTTTTCGATACAACAGGTCAACAAATGCCCCCCCTCCCCCCCAACAAATGTGGTAGGCGTCTGGAGTGGGCCATTTTTGTTATATGCAGATTGACTCTGTGGATCTCTAGATTTTTGTTCTAGATGTCACATTAGGGCTTTCATTTAGTGAATATTCAATAGCTTTCTTGGATGTCACACTACTTTCTTTTAGTGGATCTCTAAAATTTTATTTGGATGTACACTATCTTTTAGTGGATCTCCAAAAGCTTTCTTGGATGTCACATTATTTTCTTTCTCCACTGCTCTTCTAGATGTATCCATAAATGGTTGATGTACTGGTTTTGTAGGTTGACGCCAGTGGATAATATCGCCACAATTTATTCTCTTCATTCATCACGATCACTTTATTTTATAGCCTTTTTGTATAT